TGGCCCCGGGAACACTCCTACCCCCCGGCTGCAGCGCTGAACTTGAACTAGACTAAGGGCAGAAGTTCCTCCTTCCAGAGGTCAGGCCTCCCAATGCCCCCTTCCCCGGGCCGGAGAGATTGGGAGATGCAGGCCTGAGAGCCCCGGGTGGGTGCGGGCGTCCACGGCTCAGGGGGTGGCTACTCTTCCTTGGCTGCTACACCCCAGGATGGGAGGACCAGCCTCTGATGGCAACGGGGCCCCTGGTCCCCCTGCCCGTCAACTGGAATAAGAAATGTGTGGCCCAGGGAAAAGGAACGAGATTGGTACAGTGGTTCTGGGACCAGAGTGACAGTACAGTGGGGAAGACCTTCGCCTGCACACACCAAACCGGGTTTGATCCCGAAACCCCGTCTGGTTCCCAGGATCATAAGTCCCGAGCGCAGAGCCAACAGTAAGCCCTGAGCATCACCAGGTGTGACCCCCAAAACAAGTTTTGGCTGATGGAAAGAGCTTCAGGAAGAGGCAACAGAGATGGGGGAACACTGGTGGGGCCGGGGCAGGGCTCGGAACTTGGACGGGAGGAAGGAGGAGGTGACAGGCGGCAGGGGAACATTCCAGGTGTCCGGGAGAGGACAGGAGAGGACAGGAGCCACCGCCGCCGCCACCGGGACCTCACCTTCAGCGCATGGGTTGCTGAGGAGATTCCGCTGGAGGGCGCACAGGAAGTAGAAGACCTTCCAGTCAGTCACGGGCTGGTCCCCCTCCTGGACGACATAGCCGTCCTGCAAGCACTTGCGCTTCCAGAGGGTCACCAAGTCGATGAGGTCGCGCCAGAGGCTGCAGACCAGGCGGCAGCACAGCAGCAGCTGGCGGGCCGGCACGTGCGTGAACACCTCCAGCAGGATGTTCTCCGGCAGCTCGTTGATGTTCTCCTGGGCCATGGCAGGGCGCCGGGGCACACGCGGGCCTGGGGGGCATCAGGTGATCATCCATGACCAACGGGGTCGCTCCTGGGGGCCCAGGAGATGCGGAGGCAGCTATCTGTCTGGCAAGCGTGAGAGGCTGCCCCAGCACCCGCCCGGGCCCTGGGGTTCTTGCTGCCTGTGACCCCAATCCCCTCAACCACACACTTTCTCCAACCCCCGCCAGGTCTGTGGGAACCCAATGTCGTCACATCAGCAGCGAAACAGATATGTGTGTTGGGGGGGGGGGACATGCAGAAGTAGGGCGCTTGCCTTGCACACAGTTGATCTGGGTTCGCTCTCTGGCACCCCACATGGCCCCCAGGAGGAAGTCCTGAGCACTGAGCTAGGAGTAAGGTCTGAGCGTGGCCAAGAGTGGCCCAAACATAAAGTGTTAGGGACAATTCCCAGAGGCTTCTGACTCTCTAACGTAACAGGGTTTCGGGGGGATGTTGGGGCACACCTGGCAGTGCACGGGGCTATATGGGGTGCAGGAATCGAACCAGGATCGGCCGCAGGCAAGGCCGGAGCCCTGCCCACTGCAGCGTCTCTCTGGCCTCTGCTTTTACTGTTTCTCTGTGTGAAACTGTCCCTCTGCTCATCAGGCACTAAAACAGACCACAATTGTGTGTCTGAGAAACTGATAAAAGTTTCTCAGTTTATGGCACTAGGAAACAGTTATGGCACTAGGAAACAGTTCCGTAAAAGAATCCCCCCCCCCTTTTTTTTTAAAGAGTAACTTTCAGTTGGTGGCACAGGTAAACCAAGTTTTATACTTTGACTTTCGGGCTCCAGCAGTGCTCAGGTACACACCCCAGCACTGTGCCCTAGGGACCACACATGGTGCCAGGGATGGAACTGGGGTTGGCCACATGCAAGAGAAGTGCCTTCTCCCCTGGCCTATGTCTAGGGCCCACTAAATTTTTGCCATATACATATATATAACGTCGATGGGCTGAAGCTATAGTACAGCAGGTATGTCATTTGCCTTGCATGTGGCCGACCCAGGTTCGATTCCTCTGTCCCTCTCGGAGAGCCCGGCAAGCTACCAAGAGTATCCCCCCTGCACAGCAGAGCCTGGCAAGCTCCCCGTGGCGTATTTGATATGCCAAACACAGTAACAACAAGTCTCTCAATGGAGACATTACTGGTGCCCACTCGAGCAAATTGATGAACAACGGGATGACAGTGCAACAGTGCTATATATATATATGTATATATATATTATATATTACATATTAAATTTTTCTCGGAGAGCTCAGCAAACTACCGAGAGTATCTTGCCCGCTGGGCAGAGCCTGGCAAGCTACCCGTGATGTATTCGATATGCCAAACACAGTAACAACAAAGTCTCCAATGGAGACGTTACGGGGCCCGCTCGAGCAAATCAATGGACACACACATATTAAATATATATCATATACAACATACATAGACCCAGCAAGCTCAGGGCCCCTCCTGGCGTATGAGACCATAGGTGTTCCCTGCCTCCTGCATGCAAAGCAAGTGCTCAGTTATCCCTGAGCCTGACTTAGATTTTATCAAGGCAGCATGAACTCTGGGTTTCGCCATAATGTCACTTAAATGCTGTGAGTTCACTTCGATCACAAAATCTTGGTTTTCTTTTTGGTGGCCACGCCCGGCGTGGGGCTTGAGGGATATGTAGGCCAGGGGTTGAAGGCTAGTCACACTGCATGCAAGGCAAGTACCCTACCCACTGGACTAGCTCTCTGGCCCCTCTAAGAAAATTTTTCTGTCTCCCAGATTACATCACACCTCCATGAACAGTGGGGTCGGTGTGGAGAAACAGATTCCCTTTGGCCCAGTCTGGGTCTAGGCACAGGACCCAGAAAACAAAGGCAGTTAATAGTACCAATACAAGACTCAGTGACCACTCGGTGGCCAGCTGAGTAAAGGAGGGGCTGCCTGCTGGGGTCCTCAGCCAACTGAGGTTGGGGAGTACTTAAAGCATTCTGCAGATGGGGGGGGGGCCCATAGCCAACATAGTTACCCAGGTAGCAGCAGGGTCAGCGGGCTGCAGGTGGGCCTGGCCCCAAGCCTGCATTCAGGCCACCGGCCACCGACCCTGTGCAGGAGAGCCCTGAGGGTTTGGGAAACAAACAGCCACACCCGGGCCTGGATTTCACCGGCTGGGAAGGGAATGCAGGAATGCTGGGGGATGGGGAGGGGGTGGGGAGGCCCTCGTGGTCAGGTCAGGTTTTCTTTTCTTCTCCGGTTTTTGGTCCACACCCGGCAGTGCTCAGGGCTTCCTCGTGGTTCTGCAACTAACTCAGGAATTAATTATTCCTGCCCGGGGCTTGGGGGGGGGAGGGGAGGGAGCACGTGGGGGTGGTGGGGATCGAAGCCCCCCTGCCTGGCGCGCACGAGGCAAGCGCCCTCCCCGCTGGACTGCCCCCCGGGCTTTGCTATTTTTCAGGAGGATCTGGGAGCTCACGTAGCTCACGTCTAGAAGCCCGGGCTGAGCCCGCTTCCAGCCCCCCAGGGCAGCCCTCGGGGTCGAAAGTCCCCCCCCAGGCTCCGCCCCGCGCACCCGCCGCCCCGGGACGCTGCCGGGCACGAGTCGCGGGAGCAGGAGGGGGAACGCCCACTTCGCGCCCCACGACCCCCGGGAGGCCACCTCGCATCTTCCCGACCCCCGGGAAGCCGCCTCGCATCTCCCCGACCCCCAAGGAAGACACCTCGCACCCCCCAGCCCCGGGAGACCACCTCGCACGCCCCCCGACCCAACCCCGGGAGGCCGCGTCGCGTCGTCCAACCCCCGACCCAACCCCGGGAGGCCGCCTTTGGGGCGCCCCCGAGGCCCCTCGCCCCCCCTTGACCTGCAAGCCCCCCGGGGAGGCCTCCTCGCCCGGCTCCTGACCTGCAAGCCCCCCGGGGAGGCCTCCTCGCACCCCAGCCCCCGCCCCCCGGGCTGCCCCGAGTCCCCGCGGCCTCCCCCGCCCCGTCCCCAATCGCCACCAGCCCGACGCGCGGGGACGCGCCGTTTCTCCAACAGGGGAGAGCGTCACCCCGGGGTCCCCGTGCGCGGGGGTCTCCGACCACCCCCCGCGCGGGGAGCCGCCCCTGAAGCGCGCCCGGGGTCCGCGGGCGCCGCCCAGCGGCCGGGCCCAAGGCGCGGGTGTCGGGGGGGCGGCGCGTGGCCGGCCCCGCCCAAGCCCCCCGCGCGCCGCGCCCGGCCAGACCCCGACCTGGGCGCCGGCTGGAGCCCCCCGGCGGGACCGGCGCTCCCGGGGGGCCCTGACGCCGCGGCCGCAGCCCCGTCCTGCGTCGCCCCGCCCCGCCCCGGCCGCGTCACGCGCGCGCCCGGCCCGGCCCGGCCCGGCCCGGCCGGACTCCGCGCCCGGCCCCGGGACCCCGCGGCCCCGGGACCCCCCAACCCCCCCGGCCCGGGGCGCCCCCGACCTGCTCGCCGGAACTCGGGCTCCGTGCGGGCGCCGGCAGCTCCTACGGCCTCATTCCCGGTTCCGGAGCCGTCGGGGGCGGAGGTGGGGCCGGTCCCCGCCCCGGTCGCGGCCCCTCCCCGCTGACCCGGCCCGCGGGGTGGCGCCCACCTGCCCCCGGGCTCGGCCCCGCAGCCCCGGCGCCGACCTCCCGCGTGGGGCCTCCCGGCCGGCCGGCCCGGAACGGAACCCGGGGCTCCCGGGGCTCGGTCTGGCTTTGCAGCCGGGCGGTGTGCGGGGCCTGCACCCAGGGCGCCCTGCTCACGCACTGGACACTTCGTCCAGTGTCCAAAGGCTCTCGGCAGAGGGGCTCGGGGAAGGCAGCACGAGGGCGCTGACCTGCGGCCCAGCCCTGGGCGCTCCCGTCCGATGTCTGCCCCAGCCCCAGGATGCTTGTCCTGGATCGGTTCCCGTGACCCTGGTTCTGGGGTGCCAGCCCCTCTCCAGCCCGGCTGGCCGGCTCAGGGTCTGGGCAAGCCCCCCATCCCCACCCCACCCCGTTGAAGTTTGCCCTTGCACCAGAAACCAGAGGCACTGCGGGGGCTGGGAACACCTTTTATTGGGATGCACACAGCAGCGGGGGAGTCCAGACTCTGCGTCCTTGTCCTTGCTGGGAGAGGTCAGCGTGGTCCAAGGTGGGCGAGGGGCTTGACATGTTCTCCAAGCCACGGGAAGCCTGGCCCTGGCACGGAGGTGGACGAGGGATACCTGTAACTGTCCATCCACGCCAGTTCCTGGGATCACCCTCCCCTGCGCCCCCCTGCCCCGACATGGCTGAGGTCACCAGATGCAGGAGCCCCCACTGGGTAGCTGTCAGGGCCTGACAGTGACAGACCCGCCAGCCAGCCCTCACCCTTACCCTGGAGTCCGGGGCTGCCCCTGTGTCACCTGGCCTGCTCTCCGGCCAACCACCTTGACCAGACAGAGTGTGGCGCATGGCATGAGTGTGCTGAGGGTGACCAGCCAGACCTGGCCCTTCCTGGCACCTGCAGCCACAGGCTGGCCCATGTCTGCTGGGGGTGGGGGTGCAGGTCACAGGGACCAAGGGGCCCAGAGACAATGGTAGAGAAGCGGCTGACACCCGCCCCAGCCCAATCAGCAGCCAGAGCTCCGTAAGGGGGTCCATGCAGGCCTCTCCTGCAGGCCATGACCTGGGGTGGAGAGCGACCCCCACCCCAGCCTCAGTGTTCTCGGGCTGCCCAAATCGGAGACTCGGTAAAGGCAAGGCGAGAAGACGCCAGGGAACCTGGGGGTCCTGGCTGCCACCTCCCCGTTCCCGGCTTCCCGGCCCGGCCTTCTCTACCAGCAGTGTTTACCGGTCAGGGCTCGGTGGAGGGCGGGGCGTGGGGGGCGTCAGGGAGGCGGGGGCCCGATGGTGATGCTGCTGTTGGTCACCCTGGGACCGTACCAGCCGGCCCAGTAGTGAGTGTCCACGCCGCCGTGCTGAAACCAGATGTAACGGACGCCCGGCGGGTAGTTGGAGAAGGTGTGGGAGACCTGGGAGGGGTGGGGTGGGGTGGGGGGTGGGCAGAGGAGGGCGAGAGGTCAGGGAGCCCTCCCTGTGGGCGGCACTGCCTGGGTGGACAGCAAGGATCTGTAGACCTGAATCTCCCCTTGCTCTGCCTCAGTTTCCTCATCTGTCAGAGCAGCATCCTGCTGGAAGATCTGTAACCCAAAGGGTCCTCAGGCACACTGGCCAGCGGCCAGCACCGCAACTGGGCGGCAGGAATCAGTCGCGTGGAAACCACAGACCGCGTGACCACAGGAGTCCGAGGTGGACACTGACCACCGTTCAGCGTAGTTCAGAAGGTCCAGGCCCTTTCTAGTGCTGTGGCAGATTCTACCAGGCAGCACTGGCCTGGATCAGGAACTGGCACACCACGGCCTTGGGACCCACTGCCTATTTTTATCAAGTTTTATTGGAACACATTCTATCTGTATTTCATTACAATTGTCTAAAGCTACTTTCATAACACAAAGACAGAACTGAACAGATATGACAGAATTATCTGCACAGACTAAAATTCTTCTTTCAATCCCCCACCTGAAAACATCCTTACCTGGGGCCTTTTTAAGCAGGAACAATTAATAATAGTAATGATGAACAACAGCAAATGCTTTGACCTCTGCAGGTCTGAAGGGACCGTCACCCTCTCTCTGCGGGGCCTCGTAAACTCTCAGCGCTCAGAGCAGCCGGTGCCCCGGGCAGAGTTGGCACGGCGGCCGCAGCCGGGGGCAGCGTCCCCCCTTGCCCCTGGGACAGGACACACACCTCCCGCCACTTGGCGTCGCTCTTCTTCTGGATGGTCGCGGGGTCTGGCTGGAAGGTCCCCAGAGGCGCGTGCGCGGACGACAGCAGTTGAACGCACAGCTGGTACTTGGACCCGCAGTCTGGCCTGGCCGCGAACCTGCAAGCAGAGGGCCAGCCCGTCAGGGCCTGGGAGATGGGGGGCAGGGTGGGGGGCGGGGCGCCTGAGTGGCAGCCCCTCCCCCCAGCCCCTCGCCCCAGGCACTCACCAATCCTTGACCTCGATGTCCGGCCGGGTGTTGTCCATCAGCTCCTCCCAATACCCTTCAGCCTTGAGGTCCACCACCTGGGACTTGAGGCAGGTGCTGGGGGGGAGGGGGCGCGCAGGGGAGTGGTGGGAGGGTTTGGGGCTCATCACTAGGGCCCTGGGGGGCTAGGACGGCCTGTCCCCGAGCAGGAGAGGCCCCAGGATAGAGTGACCTGGGCATACCCGCCCCACCCCCAGGTCTTGGATCTTACTAATAAGAAGTCACGAAGTATCTCTTGACCTGGTCATTGGGGAATTCCTTCCTCTGGTCTCCAGGGAGATTTTCCACCTTCCACTCGTCACCTCCGTTCACGTCCAGGCTCCAGAATTCAAAGCCCTCTGTGGGGAGATAGGGTTCCCCACATCAAAGGGGAGCCCCTCTAGGGTCACCGGCAGCCTAGGCCCTGTCCTCCCGCCAGGCTGGGCCACCTTGCAGGCCGGAGCCCGCCTCCTAGAAGCTGCTTCCCGTGCCAGGGTGGATGCTTTCTACCGGTACCCCCCAGTCTCAGGGCCCGACACCGCACCCCAGTGAAACCAGTGAAGCCTGGCTTCCCAGCTGTGTCATCAGTGGGCTGTGTGACCCCAGGTAAATTACTTTACCTCTCTGCATCTTGGTTTGTCTTCCACAAACTGGGCTCAGAGCAAGGGCTGTGCAGGTTTTTTTATTATTATATTTTTTGGAGGGGGGCCTCACCCGGCAATACTCAGAGGTTACTCCTCCTGGCTCTGTACTCAGGACTCACTGCTGATGGTGCTCAGGGGACCATGTGCAACGGTGGGGATCAAACCCAAGTTGGCTGTAGACAAGGCAAATGGCCTACCTGCTGTACTATCGCTCCGGCCCAAATTACTATTTCATTGTGTGGGTGTCGGAGGTGGGAGGTTGGGCCACACCCAGCAATATTCAGGGGTTACTCCTGCCTCTGCACTCTGGAACTTACTCCTGGTGATACTCTGGGACCATATGGGATGTTGATGGGTCAAACTTGGGTTGACTGTGTGCAAGGCAACTGCCCTTCCCAACAATGTACTATCTCTCCAGCCCCTGTGCAGTTTTTCTGTAAAGATCAAAAATCATAAGAAAACAAACACAGGGCTGGACTGATAGCACAGTGGTTAGGGCGTTGCCCTTGCATGCGGCTGACCCGGGTTTGATTCCCAGCATCCCATATGGTCCCCTGAGCACTGCCAGGGGTAATTCCTGAGTGCAAAGCCAAGAGTAACCCCTGCATTGCCAGGTGTGACCCAAAAAGCAAAAAAAAAAAAAAAAAACCAACCCCCCCCCAAATTATATATGTAGGGTCTGGCCCCAGCAGTCAAAGCTGGCAGTGCTCAGGGATCACTCCTAGTGGGGCTCAGAGGGCCATTTGGGGGTGTCAGGGATCGAACCCAGGTGGGCCTTGTGCAAGGCAAGTGCCCCCCACTGCTGTACTGTCGCTCTGCTCCCCACATGTTTACCCTAAGAGAACCCTCTAACAGGTTCTGGATTCTCGGCCGGACTTGGCACAGGGACCGTACAGGATGACAACAGCAGCTTAAGAGCACGGCTACGGGTGGGGGCGAGTCCAGTGAGGCAGAAATCAGAAAGACGCCAGGAACTGCTTTGTCATCATTCCTAACTGTGGCCTGAGGCTGGAGACCCAGGTTCCCACTGAAGCCCAGGGTCTCGCCCAGCTCAGGGCACAGCAGAAAAGAAGGGGCTGTGACCCGCTTACAGAGAACACGGGGTCTCCCCTGATGCCATAGGCAGAGCCCTTGGTACCCTCCGGGCTGGTCCCAGGGCTAGCCATGCAGTCTGGGAACCGGGCCAGCAAAACAGAAACTCTGATTTTCTGTATCTTGGGCACAGTTAGTCCCAACAGGCTGCTGACACGAAGTCGCAGGCAAGGTGACCGGGGAAACAAACCATCTGAAGAGTGGGATAAGAAATGCCACTTGCGACCTCAGTTTATGCATCTGAGAAACGGTTCTGCGCCATAGTCCTGACCTTGCAGGCCCACAGTGAGAGAGTGAGGGAAAGGGCCTGGCCTGCAGATGGTGCCTGTTACAGGGACAGTGTGCATCCGGGGGCAGGCCGGCCCTGCTGGACGCCCCCCCCTTCCGCAGGGACAGTGTGTGTCTGGGGGCCGGCTGACCCTGCTCCAAGCCCCACCTTCAGCGCACGGGTTGTGCAAGAGATTCCGGCGCAGGCTGCGGAGGAAGTAGAAGACCTTCCAGTCGGCCACGGGCTGGTCCCAGTCCTCGGTGATGAAGCCCTCCCGCAGGCACTTGCGCTTCCAGAGGGTCACCACGTCGATGAGGTCGCGCCAGAGGCTGCAGACCAGGCGGCAGCGCAGGAGCAGCTGGCGGGCTGGCACATGCGTGAACAGCTCCAGCAGGATGTTCTCCGGCAGCTGGTTGATGTTCTCCACCGCCATGGCTGTGGCCTCCTGTGGAGAGGGGGTCAGAGTGGTGGCACAGCCGGCCTCCACGCGGCCCACCCGGGTGCCATCCCCGGCATCCCAGTGGGTCCCCGGCGCCCAGCCGTGAGCATCGCCAGGTGTGGACCAAATAACAAAAATCTTTTAGAACTTAAAAAGACTTTTTAAATTAATTTTTTTTTAATTTAAAAAAAGGCTGCGGGGCTGGAGAGATAGCACAGCAGGTAGGGCGTTTGCCTTGCACGCGGCCAACCCGGGTTCGATTCCCAGCATCCCATATGGTCCCCTGAGCACCGCCAGGAGTAACTCCTGAGTGCAGAGCCAGGACTAACCCCTGTGCATCGCCGGATGTGACCCAAAAAGACAAAAAAAAAGAAAAGAAAAAGGCTGCACTGGACACTGGCCTCTCTCCAGCAAGGCCAGGGTGAGGATCCCTGTCCCAGTTCTGCCATTTACTCCCTCGGGGGAGTCACTGTGTCCTGGGGGGAGGGGGCTTAGTTTTGTCCCCTGCAAAATGCAGCCAGTCAGGGCTCACCTCCTGGGGTGGATTACAAGAGCATCTGATGGATACCTGGTTTGTCAGTAAAGGTGAGTCCGTCCCCCTCATCCCCTGAGCTCTGCTTCTTGTTGTTTTTGGGCCACACCTGGCATGCCCAGGGCCTCCACCTAGCTCTGAATTCAGGGAACACTCCTGGCGGGGGCTCGGCGCTGCCCTCACCGCGGCCTTGAAAGGAGGCTGCGGAGGCCGGGAGGGGAGCCAGGACCTCCCCAGAGGTCAGGGACACCGGGACGGAGCAGGCCGGAGCCCGAGTCTCCGTATTCCAGAGCCTTCTCCCACCAGGGAAAGTGGAGGCCTGCGGGGGAGCTGCACAGGGCACGCACCCCGGTCTCCGTGCAGGGCCCGAGAGCGCAGGCCTCGCCTTCCCGATCGCAGGGGGCGGCGGGACAGCATCTCCGCGGCCCCCGCCCCCCGCCCCGCGGGCCGTGAAGGGTCCGGGAGCGCCGCCCGCTCCCCCCACCCCGCGCCAGGCTTTCCAGGCGCCCCCCACCCTGGGGACTCGGCACCCCGCGCAACCAGCGACAGCCCCAGCTCCGGCCTGCACCGCGCACCCGGCCTCGCCGGCTCACGTACCCGCCGCGGCGCTCCCGGCGCCCACTCCCACGGGCCGCGGCGCCCACCCCCACGGGCGCCCGCGCCGCTGCGTGACCCCGAGGAGACGCCGCCGAGGAGCCGGCCGCGCCTGCGGGAGCCAGCGCCGGCCCCGCCCCCGTCCGGGCCCCGCCCCCCAGGGCCCAGGGCCCCCAATCGGATCTCGCCGCTCAAAGCCTGGCTCCAATCAGAGCCCGGCCCTGATCAGGCCCCGCCCCCGAAGGCCGCGGCCCGGCCCCGCCCCGCGCCGCGCCGCTGCGGCTCGCTCCGTTCTCGCGCCGCGCTCCTGCGTGCGGGGCCCGGGACGCCGACCCCGCTCCTCGGCCCCGCGGCCCCGCAACGTGCGCACGTACCCGGGGGCGCGTGTGTCGGGCGCCTCCAGCCCCCCTCCCTCCGCTGGGCACGCTGCCCGCATCCTTCGTCTGACCCCAGACTCTCCCTGTCCCCTTCGCCTCTTCCCAGCACACCCACCCCAGGGGGACGCCGGGTGACAGCACCCCCGCCCCAGCTGCACCCCCTTAATAAAAAAATGCAAAAACCAAGCCCTGCTGACCTTTCCCGGCCTCCCCCGTCGGCCGGGAGCCGGGCTCGGGGCGGCGGGGCAGCGGGCGCGGGCCGAAGGCGGGGCGGGGGCCGAGGGGCGGGGCGGGGGCCTTTAAGAGGCGCGGCCGCCGGCCCCGACCCAGACGCGGGCAGCGCCTGGACTCGCCGTCGCCGCCGGACACCGGCCGCCCCGCAGCGCTCCGGCTCCTCCTCTCGCGACCGCCCTCTGCAGCGATGGACGGAGACGGGGACCCAGGTAGCCGCCGCCGGGACCCGCTCGCTGCAGCCAGGAGGGGCGCGGGGCGAGCGGGCGATGCTCTCAGCACCCCGGCCCGGCAAACTTGCACCCAAGCAAAACCCCCTTAGGAGCTTTGGGGGTGGTCTGGGGCTGGCAGGAAGGGAGGGCGGTGGAGGGGGCCCCTCGACCCGGGAAACTGCACGGGAGTGACCCCCGTGCCTCCCGCCTGGCCCCGAGGGCCGGAGGACCCGCGACCTGGGGGGGAGGAGGAGGAGGAGGATGCCCTCCCGTCCTGCATCGGCTGCTGCTGGTCTCTTGCGTTCCCGAGGCTTTCCTGGGATTCCCGGTCTCTCCCCATCCGGACCTTCCTCCTGGGCTCTCTTGTCTGGAGGCGCTGCCCTTTACCCAGCGGCTGGACGCGGGGCGATGGGGGCAGGCGCCGGGCTTTTGGAGACTGCTCCGTCATCTTGCCTGGCACCAGAGACCCAGCCCCCCAACCTCTCCTCTCCCTGTGGCTGGGCTGCAGGGGGTGCCTGCTGAGTCAGGGGGAGCAGCCCTGCAGAGTTCCCTGCAGAGCCCCCACCAGGGCTCCTCTGCAGACTGGGGGTTTGTGTGTGTGTGTGTGTGTGTGTGTGTGTGTGTGTGTGTGTGTGATGCACAGGGGTGGCACTGCTTAGGGACAGTCACGGGGCCAAGCCCCCTCTCCGCCTGGAAAACCCCAGCTTTGCCACCGCCCCCCATCCACAGACCCTGGACCACACCCTTTCGAGGGTCCCCCAGGGGCTCCTTCTTTTTTCCAGGGCTCCCCTATTCCCTGGACCCTGGGTCCAGCCCTGGTGAGTGGAGGCTTGGCCCAGGAGAGCCAGATAACTTTCCGGCGGGGCAACAATGTGGGGGTTGTGTGGGTTCAAGCGGGGGGCGGGGGGCCTGTAATCAGATCTGGGGCCGCAGTGCCAGCCTGGGGCCAGGAGGGGGGACAGGGTGAGGTGCACCTTTCCGAGGAGCATCAGGTGTCCATGGGGCCAGGGCAGGGGGAGGGGGTGGCGAGGTGAGGACACGGGGCCGGCTCCCCGGAGAGGCAGGCACTGGACTGCGGGCGTTCCCCTTGCTCCTCTTCCTTCACCTCGGTTTGCTGAGTGGCCGAGAGATGCCAGTTGAGCCTCTCTGGGCCAGTTTGCCAAAGAAATTGAGGCGGCAGTGGCCAGAGTGATAGTCCAGCGGGTAGGGTACTTGCCTTGCACACGGCCAACCCGGGCTCCATCCCCAGCACCCCATATGGTCTCCCGAGCCCTGCCAGGAGTGGTCCCTGAGTTCAGAGCCAGGAGTAAATCCTGATCCTCGCCAGGTGTGGTGTGCGTCCCCTCATCCCTGCCCCCACAAAAAAAACGGAGGTGGCAAATCCCCAGTTCCCCACACACCGTTGAGATGTGGTCAGAACTGCTAATGGTGGGGGTCGGAGAGAAGAGATACTACGGCGGGTAAGACGTTTGCCTCGCACGCAGCTGACCCAGGTTCGATCCTCGGCAAACCCGGCCAGGAGTGACACCTGCACACAGAGCCAGGAGTCAGCCCTGAGCACCGCCACATGTGGCCCCCAAACAAACAAAACCAGCTAATGCTGAAGGGCAGTCGCTGTGTGGACGAGCTTCCCTAAAGGGGGCTGAGTGGGAACTCTGTGTGCCCAGGCTCTGGCTCTGTGCGTGTCCGCGTGTGCGCATGTGTACTGTATGTGAGGAGGTGGTTGGCTGTGCCTTTTCCGGCCCCAGTGCTGGTCTGTTCTGGCCTTGGCATAGCCCCAAGGACCCTCTCTCTCTGGGTCAGAAGACGCGGCATCACCCAGAGTGGCTCATTCTGCTCCCCTCAACCCCTCCAGGGACTCACCCGCCCCTCCTTATCTGCTTACTCGAGCTTCCCACGGCCCAGCAGCCGTGGCCGGGGTCCAGGAGACTGCAGCTCGCAGCTCCCGACATCGTCTGCTCCTTTATACCATTTAGCTCGGCCAGTCCCCTCCTCAGCGCGCGCTGAATGACGCCAGGTCCCAGGGTATACCCTGAGAGGGATCACACAGGGGATGAGGTGCTGAGGTGCTTGCTTTGGCTGTATGTGGCAGACACCACTAGTGACCCCTGAGCACAGAGCTGGGAGTAGCCCCAAAGCATTCCCCATAAATCCCAACCAAACAGAAAAACGATGGACAAGTCCCATTGTACAGACGAGGAAACTGAGGCTGGGGAGGAAAAGGGTGAGGCTCTTGCTTCTGAGTTCTGACACTTGCTGCAGGTCCCTCTCTGAAGACAACCCCCCCCCCACCCGTTCCATTTCACACAGCTTTGGCTAACTGGGCACCCACCTCGGGACACCAACCCCATCTCCCTGGGGCCCCCATTTATTTATTTTTTGCTTTTTTGGGTCACACCTGGCGATGCACAGGGGTTTCTCCTGGCTCTGCACTCAGGAGTTACTCCTGGAGGTGCTCAGGGGACCATATGGGATGCTGGGAATCGAACCCGGGTCAACCGCGTGCAAGGCAAACGCCCTACCGGCTGTGCTTTCTCTCCAGCCCCTGGGCCCCCACCCCATTTAGATCCCCGAGACCCCCATCAGTAGCAGCAGTGTGGTCTTGGTCATTGGCAGCACCTGAGAGGACTTTGTTTTGGTTTTGGGGCCACACCCAGCAGTGCTCAGGGCTTATTCCTGGCTCTGGGCTCAGAGATCACTTCTGGTGGGCTTGGGCATCGAACCCAGGTCAGCCACATGCAAGGTCAGCGCCCTCCCCGCTGGACTATTTCTTTGGCTCTGACTTTTGTTTTTGTACCACACCTGGTGGTGCTCTGTGTTTACTCCTGGCTTTGTGCTCAGGGATCACTCCTGGGGGAACGTGGGGTGCTGGGGATCGAACTGGGGTGTCAACGCACCTGCCTTAAGCACTGTGCTCTCAGCGGGTCTGTGCAGTGACTTTGACGCGCTGGAGGTTATCTGGCTGCGCTTAAGCCAGCAGCCTGGGCTCACAGCCAGCTGCGACCCCTCATCTGCTAAGTGCTCCTGGCTGGCGCACTGACTCAGTCAATTAGCCACAGCTTGAGGGACAACCTCAAGAGTGGTAGAGAGGGTTTAAAGAGAAAAATGAGATGGGGGGAGGGGGGAGGCGTGCAGCGGGGAGGGCACTTGCCTTGCACACAGCTGACCTGGGTTCGATCCCTGTATCCTATATGGTCCCCTGAGCACTGCCGGGAGTGATTCCTGAGAACAGAACCAGGAGTAACCCCTGAACGCCACCAGGTGTGTCCCCCCCCCAAAAAAAGTGAACAGGATGAAACTGCTTAAAATGGCACCCAACACTGAGTGCCCAAAAAAATATTAGAAGCAGCCTATGCCAGGCAGGGAGGCAGATGCCAGGCACGGGGAGGAGGCAGTGTGTTGGCCCTCCTGCCTTCAGCCCGAGAGCAGCATTTTCAAAATATCATCACCTAGGGCCAGAGATAGCACAGCGGGGAGGGCACTGGCCTTGCACGTCCAATCCCCGGCATCCCATATGGTCCCCCAAGCGCATCAGGAGAGATTCTGGAGCACAGAGCCGGGAGTAATCCCTGAGCACCACTGGGTGTGGCTGTCACCCCTCCCCCACCCCCTCCAATAAAAACCCGCAACCTAAGGCAGAAGCTAGAAAGGGCAGGTTGCAGGAGGATGCGACAGAGGAAAACCCAAGAGGGTTTCTGGGAGGAGGTACCAGGAGCGAGGAGGGTGGGAATGTAAAGGGGTCGGCTGCCACCTACAATAACATTAATTGCTATTGTGGGCCCTGGCAGGGGCCTGACCGCCTGCCCGGGGCAATTGCGGCCTCGGAGACCAGCCTTAGGGCTTCAGGCCTGGTCGCGGCCGGCTCCCTGCTGCACCAAGCGCTTAGTCTCGGCGCCCGAATTGCGACCCCAGCCCTGGTGGTGGTGGTGGTGGCAGCGGCGGCCGGGCGCATGCCCGAGGGATCAGGGTTCTCCGCCGCCGGCGCGGGGAGGGTCTGTGGGCATCAGCCCCCCAGCCCCCACCCGCTCCACCCCTGCCAGAGAGCGTGGCCCAGCCCGAGGAGGCCACCCCGGAGGAGGAGGAGGCGGCATGCACGGAGGAGCCGAGCGCCGCCGGGGAGGAGCAGCCGGAGGACGGGGAGGCGGACGCGGAGGCGCCGGGCGAGGCCGCGTACCTGGAGGAGCTCCCGGAGCAGCTGCTGCTGCGCGTGCTGGCCGAGCTGCCGGGCGCCGAGCTGGTGCAGGCCTGCCGCCTGGTGTGCCTGCGCTGGAAGGAGCTGGTGGACGGCGCCCCGCTCTGGCTGCTCAAGTGCCAGCAGGAGGGGCTGGTGGCCGCGGGCGCCGAGGACCAGCGCGACCACTGGCAGCAGTTCTACTTCCTGAGCAAGAGGCGGCGCAACCTGCTGCGCAACCCGTGCGGAGACGGTGAGGGCCGCCCCGCGTCCCCGAGGAGGGTCATTGGGCCCTGGTCACGTGGGGACGGGGACAGCGCTGCCCCCGCCCCTGCCCATCATGCTCTCGCCAGCCCGCGTGGAGCCGCGGGTCCCGGGCGCGGATGCTCCTGCATCCCTGCATCCCGGGCGCCACCTGGTCCCGGCGCATCTGCCGGTTCCCCAAAGTCCGCTTGGAGGTGGACGGGCGCGTTGAGTTCAAACCCGGTGGCCCGGGGCTGCTTTTTGTGGGGGCGAGGCGGGGGGTTGAGCCACACCCGGTGATGCTCGGGGCTTACTTAGTGGTCAGCGCATGACGGGCTTAGGCGAACCCAATGGGGTGCCGGGGATCGAACCTGGGTCGCCGCGCGCGCAAGGCGCGCACCCTCCCGCTGTGCCAGCGCTTGGCCCCCCGGCTAGCTGCATCTTCTAACCCGCTGCCCCTTGGGGGTCCCTTTCCCGGGTCCTCCCTCTCTCGCTCCGAGAGGGAGCGAGCACCGGGGGACAGTCGGAGGGCCAGCCCTGGCGGCCGGCCGGTGACCTGCGTGCGCCGCTGCCCCTGCAGAGGAGCTGGAGGGCTGGATTGACGTGGAGCACGGCGGGGACGGCTGGCGGGTGGAGGACATGCCCGGGGACTGCGGCGCCGACTTCTGCCACGACGACAGCGTCGGCAAGTTCTTCGCCTCCTCCTTCGAGTAAGGCGCGGGGGCTGCAGGGGCGGGCGCGGGAGCCCCCTCCCCGCACGCCCCCTCCCTGCGCGCCTAACGCCCGTGTCCCCAGGTGGTGTCGCAAGGCGCAGGTCATCGATCTGCAGGCTGAGGGCTACTGGGAGGAGCTGCTGGACACCACTCAGCCCGCTATCGTGGTGAAGGACTGGTGAGTGGGTGGGGGCCAGCCGGGATGGGCCCCCCGCCCAGGGCAGGCTCTGCTGGCCCCTCACAGGCGGCCGCGTGTGGCCATGTGGTTTGTGGTCTGTGACCGCCACCCGGGACCTGAGGTTTTCTTGGTCGGTATTTGGGTTTGGGGCAACACCCAGCGGTGCCCAGGGACTACAGTGGATAGGGGGCACTCCTGGCCCTGCTGGAGACCACGCTGGCCGGGATAGAACCGGGTCTTCTCCCAACCCCATCTGAGTTTGGGTGGGCTCTGGCCCCAAGGGTGGGGTGGGACCGGCCGGGGGTTCGGTCCTCGGTCTCGGACCTCCCGTGAAGCCTTTGCTGTCCAGCCTCACTTCCCTCGTCTGTGAAACGGGCATGCAGGGCTGTGCATGAGACCTGCTGGCCGGCGCTGGCCACGTGGCCGCCCTCCTGCTACACGTTCCCTGCCCTGGCCTAGGTACTCGGGCCGCAGTGACGCGGGCTGCCTGTACGAGCTCTCTGTGAAGCTGCTGTCGGAACATGAGGACGTGCTGGCCGAGTTCAACAGTGGGCAGGTGGCCGTGCCGCAGGACAGCGAGGACGGCTGGACCGAGGTGATGCTCCAGGCCCTGGGGGCGGGGCCGAAAGGGGCGGGGCCGAAAGGGGGCAGGGCCGGAGGATGCCCCGCCCATGGTACCTGCCCATCCCCTCCCATTGGCAGTGAGGCCGGGTGAGTGGGCTTTGAGGGGACCTGGCAGGGCGCAGACAAGCTGGTGGGCAGGTGGGAGGTCAGTACGCGGGTGCGGGGCAGCTGGGGCGCCCGTGGGGGCCTGAGCCTGCTCTCCCTTCATCCCCCGCCCCCCAGATCTCCCACACCTTCACGGACTACGGGCCCGGCGTCCGCTTCGTTCGCTTCGAGCATGCGGGGCAGGACTCTGTCTACTGGAAGGGCTGGTTCGGGGCCCGGGTGACCAACAGCAGCGTGTGGGTGGAGCCCTGAGTGACCCCCACAGCCTCCGTCCCCTCCCCCATTCTGCCCTGGACCAGCCTTAGTGGTAGCGCCACCCCACCCCCCACCCCACCGTACTGCTCCCCGCCCCAGCCCCCCACCCAGGAGAAGAGAGGGCCGGCATCTGTTTTTGCATCTAGAACATAAGATGGATTGAGGGCCTGGGCCCACCCCGGAATGTTCCTCCCCAGTCCCTCCTTTCCCTTTCCCCCCTCCCCCCGCCTCTGCCAGCTCAGTGCCTGCCCCCCAAAATTGGGCGCTCAATAAATCGTTTCTGTCCAAGGGAGCAATGAAGGAGCACGGGTGAATGAGCACTCTTTCCATCCTGCTCGTCTCCAGGGTCCTTGGCCCAGACTGGAAAAATACTTGGTGCATGTCCAGCTGCTCTAGTTTCCAGGGGCCTTGGGGCCAGCGGGAGCCGGCCAGTCCTGGGCCAGCTGGACAAAGGCTGGGATTGTGAGGCCACGGGCTGCAGGCCGGCCTGGCGCCTGACTGACACCCAAGCCGCCCAGAGGACAGGAAGGGGCGCCAGTGGGGAGGGGGCACTCACTGTCCCTCTGCTCAGTCCTTACCCAGGGTGAGGTGGTGGGTACAGGCAGACGCCCACCCCGGGATGCCCCTGGGTGGGCTTTTGTTGCCCCGACAGCGTCAGTCCGTGCCCGCCTTCCCTCTGTCCTGCCTGCTGGCGCCTGGATCTGATGGGAGCTTTTGGCATCTGGGTCCAGCGGTCATTTCCAGTTTGAAGGGCCGGCTCTGTGGCAGACACACTCTGATCTCTGCAGGACTCCCCAGTCCCCACTGCTCTCCTGGGCAGTGGGTGACCTCTGAGTGCTGCGGCCACCAACTGTTCTTCATGGTCCCATTCGCTGTTTTTCCATTCCTAAAGCCCCTGTCCAGGCCAGCCCCACTGCTGGCCCTGCAGTCTCAGGTTAGGAACCTAGACTCTCCTTGCCCCAGAATTCGCCATTTGGTCACATAAAGGATGGGGCACCCCAGGAAGTTATCAATCTTCTGACTTGGGGGTGGAGGGATCACGGTCACGGTCCTCCCATTGTTCATCGATTTGCTCGAGCGGGCCCAGTAACGTCTCCATTGGAGATTTTGTTGTTACTGTGTCTGGCATATCGAGTATGTCACGGATAGCTTGCCAGGCTCTGCCGTGCAGGCGAGATACTCTCGGTAGCTTGCTGGGCTCTCCGAGAGGGGCAGAGGAATCGAACTCGGGTCAGCCATGTTGGCTGCGTGCAAGGCAAACGCCCTACCGCTAATCCAGTCTAATGGTGAAGGCATAGTTCTTACTCTGGAAGCGTCATTGGTCTGAGGGGAGAGGAAAGGCCTGAGCTCAGAGAAGTCCTATTCTGAAGGTGGAGGCTCAGGTCCTGCCCCCAGCCCCACCCCCAGGCTCTTGATGGGGTCAGAGCTTGAACTTTGTATTAGGGGGCGATTTTCCTTCACAGCCCCAGCAATGCCAGGGGGCCAGGCTCGATGCTCCTGGCCTGAGTGGTCAGTGCTCAGGGCCCTCTGGGAGTCCTCATGGCCACCCCAGAAGCGCTGGGTCAAGGTATGGGCCGGATGCTGCAAATGCTTGAATCTGGGACCTGTGCGTGGGAGGTGTACCCGGGCCACCGAGCCGTCTCCGGCCACCTACGCTTGCAGGTTTGCATAAAGCAGTGACAGGCCGGCGGGGTTGAGGGGCTGTGGGAGGCCGAGAGGCTCCGGCAGAGGCTGTGCAGGGACGCAGCAGGAATAGGACCCGTGGAAGGTGCTGGAGTTGGGGGAAACAGCCCCCGCTTGGGGCAGGAAAGAGGCCATGAGGCCCTGGGGCTCTGACTAGAGCCAGGCAGTTGTGTCTGAGGCCCATGGCCAAGGCCAAGGACACAGGTGAGAGGCCAACAGACGCAGGTTGGAGTGAGGCTGCAGCTGCTGGAGAGAGGGCGGCTCTGGGGGTCCTCCGGGGACGGGGGGCAGGCAGCTGGGGTTCAGCCCAGCCAGACTCTCCGCCCTGAGCCACTGTCCCTGAGGGTCTGTCCCGGAGGTGTTTGGTGGAGAAGCCGAGTGGACTCTGCTGCCCAGGTAGGAGATAGGGCCTCCACATGCAACTGAGGGTGACAGATGACGCACAGTGTCAACGGGGCCACAGGTTCCAATCCAGGCCTGCCTGGCTCCAGGGAACTGCTCTGAGCCCTCAGCATGCGGGCACCACACTTGGAAGTTACCAGGAGGCAGAACCCAGCCTCCTGCAAGAAAGAAACTTGGGTCCCCAGGAACGGCGCAGAAGCTCATGGTCGTGAGTTCAAATCCCTGGAGTCCCACATGTGCCAAGTGCCATCTGGGCAGCTCTGCTGTCTGCCAATCACCACTGTCCCTCCCCCCCCCCCACAAGACAACTTTGGCTTCACTATGGCTGGGTATATAGAAACACCACAAAGGCACCATCCCTGAAAGCACCGCAGCCAGGAACTGTGACCCCAATTAGGCGAGCACAGATCACAGCTACGTGCCCTCTGTGAGCACTCACGTGTGAGCACCCCACGACACAACATCGACAGGATCAGGAAAGGGGAGGAGTAAAAAAGAGGAAAAAAAAAAATCCTTGACCCTCGCCAGCAGGGGGCGCTCACACCTGCACTGTAGCGCCAGGATGCTTCCCCTCTCAAGATACCAGTGTGTGTGTGTGTGTGTGTGTGTGTGTGTGTGTGTTTGGGGGTGGGGGGTCCACGTAACCACTAAATCCCGTCTCCTTGGCTGATATTTATCGAGCTACCACTATCTGCCAGGCAAGGTAAAGCAGACAAGGATTCTGCTCTGCTGCTATCTATAGCCTAAGATCAAAAGGTCCCCAAAGTATTCTGCCTACCACCCCCTTTCCATAAAAGAAAATAAATCACCCCACACCCCCTGGAAGTCCCTCTTTTGGGGGGAGGGTGGTGCACACCGGATGCTCAGGGTTTACTCTAACTCTGCACTCAAGAATCACTCCTGGCGGTGCTTGGGAGACCATGTGGGATGCTGGGGATCGAACCCACTTCGGCCAGGTACGAGGCAAGCGCCCTACCCGCTGTACTGTCCTCCTGGCCCCTGAAATTGACTGTCTTTAGGTGAGCGAACAGGAAGCAGCCCCCAACTGCAACCGAGACCACTATGGCCCCTGCCCCTGCCCCTGCCCCAGCAGTCCCTGGAAAGCGCTGATCGAAGGAGAAACAGCAGCTAAGGAAATGACTAGAAAAGTCACCAGCGTGACAGAAAATTAATGTGCACGCTGGCTCTTGGCGGTATATATGAAGAAGGCTGTGGGAAGACATTTGTGACATACATAGAACATACGTCTTGTGAGGTGGGAAATATGACTTCCATTTTTCACAAATGAGAAAGTGGAAGCAAAGAGAAAATATTGTTTCTGGTGAATACAGATACTCTCACTTTCCAGACGAAAGTCTCAGTGATGTTGGCGGCCGTGCCCAGGGTCATGCGGGGAGCGAGCAGCTGAGGTTTCCTGGTTATAAAAGTCCAGCTTGAGGGGCTGAAGCCATAGGGCGTTTGCCTTGCACGCGGCCGACCCGGGTTCGATTCCCAGCATCCCATATGGTCCCCTGAGCACCGCCAGGGGTAATTCCTGAGTGCAGAGCTAGGAGTAACCCCTGTGCATCGCCGGGTGTGACCCAAAACACACACAAAAAAAGTCCAGCTTGAATGTCCAGGGCCAGCTCCATCCCCTTCACACTTGCAGGGCCCCGACGTGGCCACTTGGGGGCTCCCCAGTGAGAAAGAATGAAAGAACAAAGCGTACTCTGGCCAAGAAGGAGGGGTTCCTGGGTTCGGGTTAATTCTGGCTAAGGCGCCATCTTCCTAGAGTTCTCGGTAGAGCCCTTACGCAAACATCTGACAAGAAAACGTCTTCAGGGCCAGAGTAATAGCACAGTGGGGAGGGCATTTTGCCTTGCCCGGCGGTCGACCCAGGTTTAATCCCTGGCAGCCCCGATGGTCCCCCAAGAAGCACCACCCCTGAGCATCGCTGGTGTGACCCTAAAACCAAACAAAAAAAACAGTCCAGCCCATTTTTTTTTACTTCAAACACTGTGACAAAGTTGCTCACGATACAGGTGTTTCAATATTCCAACACCTGCCCCCTACCAGTGTGACCCCCCCTCCCCAATGTTTCTATTTTACCCCCCACCCACACAGTCTGCTCTCTTAGCAGGCACTAATTAATTTATTTTATATTGCTCATTCCAACATATCTCATCATGATTTGCTGAGCTGTCAGGTGCGAATTGGGCCTTCTGGCCTGATTTCACTCAGGGAGCTTCTTCGGCTTCTGCTCAATGTTCCTGGCTCATGTTCTTGCCCCTCCTGGGCTGTCGGCCCTCCCTGTGAGGTTTGGGGGTGCCACAGCTATTCACTTCGGGGACTTTGGAGTGGGACGATCTGCTGTGAGAGTCTCTCTGCTCTCTCTGAAAGCAGCAGAGAATCGGCTGTTTCTTTGGCCCCAGCAGGAGTGGGTGTGGGTGGGGGCAGCGCTGGGGGCCCAGTTTGCCCCCATCCCACCCAGTGTCCAGGCTCCGTGGTGACCAGGCCTCCTGGTAGGACAATCGGAGATCAGCCCTGAAGCTCTTCAGGACAATTTCTGGTATTTGTTGTTTTTTTTTTTTTTTTTTGTTATGATGCGATAGCACAGCGGGTAGGGTGTTCGCCTTACAAGCGGCCAACATGGCCAACCCGAGTTCGATTCCTCCGCCCCTCTCGGAGAGCCCGGCAAGCTACCGAGAGTATCTCGCCCGCACGGCAGGGCCTGGCAAGCTCCCCGTGACGTATTCCATATGCCAAACACCTAACAACAAAGTCTCCAATGGAGATGTTACTGGGCCCGCTCGAGCAAATCGACGATCAACGGGAGGGCCTTTACCTTTACCTTTACCTTATTGATATCTGGGCCACACCTATGTAGAGCCAAGATTCAAACTGGGATCGCCGCCATGGTCACGGACTAGGCAAATAGGCAAGTGCCTTAACCTCGG